ATTCTTGGACCTGTGTCTGGGAATTCAGAATTTCTCCAATTTTATTCATTACAATTTAAAAAACAATTTTAAATCATGAAAGTATGATAACATATTTACAGGAGACTTGGAAAATACAGAACAAACTTACAAATAATTTTACTTATATTACAATTATTTTTAAGTAGATAAATTAGGATATTCTGGTTGGAGTTTCAATATCAAACTCTCAAAAATTAATAGAATGAATAGACAGAAAAGTAGAAGGATATAGTAGACCTGAAAAGCATTCTGAACCAATTTAAAATAATTAAGATTTATACAATTTTCACACAATAGCAAGATACAAACTCTATACATGTTCCCATAGACTATAAACTAGGAGACATTGGAATATATCCAGGGACATAAAACAAGGTGCAAAAACTTCATGGTCTAAAAGTATCAAAATCATACAGGGTCTGTTCTCATCATTGTATAATAATGTTAGAATTCAGTATCAAAAGATATTTGAAAATAACCCACATATTTTCAAGTGCAGTGTGACATTTACCAAAAGAGAGCTTTGACTTAGCCATTGAAAACCTCAGTGAAGTTAGAAGACTGGAAAAGCACAGAGGGTGACTGCAAAGGAGAAAGCATTTAAATGAGATGAATTTCTCAAATTTTAGTAAGGAAATTCAGTGTTTATACCAAAATTTGGTTTGATTTGGTATTGAGACATAATTGAAATATAACAGTATATTAGTTTCAGGTGTATAATATAATGATTTGATATATGTATATATTGCAAAATCATCACCACAATAACTCTAGCTAACATCCATCATCAGAGTTGTATTTTTTCTTATGATGAGAACTTTTAAGATCTTAATTTTCAAATATACTATACAGTACTGTTAGCTGTAGTTACCATGGTGCCCGTTACATCACCAGTGTACATTACATCATCAGGACATATTTATTTTACAACTGGAAGGACATTTGACCACATTTACTCATTTCTCCATTGCCCCTGGCAACCAGCAATCTGTTCTCTGTATCCACGAGAAAACAGTCATCTAAAATATTCTTAGAGAGCTAAAGGAAAGCCTGGGAAAAGAGCTAAGGAGAGTCAGGAAGCAACACATGAGCACAATGAGAATAGAGACAGAAATTATGTAAAGTAACCAAAGAGGAATTCTGAATCTGAAAAGTACAATAAGGTTTCCCCCACTCCCTGAAAGCAGAGCATTTCTGTGAAACTTTTTCATAGGCCAAAGTGGCATAAAGTGAAGAAGCAATTACCTTAGGTTACATATGGGTGCACAAAATAAATCAGGATAAAGCACAGATGCTCACATACACAGTTCAAAACTATGGTGTCTTGACGCTGAGATGCTGAGTGTAGTTCCTGGAGAAGTACTGTCTCTATAATAGCTCACTGCAAAACAAATGCTGAAGGCTATTTTCACTTTTTTTCTGTAAAAGGGGATATTCTCTTCTGATTTCTTTTGGTTAGTAAAAACAGTTACTAATATTGGTCTTTTGTAAAAGTGAAATGACATAAAGCTAACTTTCAGAAAGTGTGAGATACCTGTAACTAAATTGAAAAATTAGCTAGAGGGGTTCAACAGCAAATTTGAACAGGAAAAAGAATCAATGAACCCAAAGAAAGGACACTGGCAATTATTAAGCCTGATGAGCAGAAAGAAAAAAAGAATAAAGAAAAGTGAACAGAGTTTAAGAAACTTACAGAACCTCATCAAGTAGACCAAAATATGCATTATGGAAGTCCTGGAAGTAGAAGAGAAAAAGGATCAGAGAGCTTATTTGAATAATAGCTGAAAACTCCCCATATTTAAGGAAAGACATGAATCTGAATTCAAAAAAAAAATCAATGAGTTCCAAGTAGGATAGAACGAAAAAGACCCACACTGAGACACATTATAATTAATCTGTTGAAAGACAAAGAGAAAAATCTTGAATCAGCAAGAGGAAAGTTACTCATTGTATATAAAGAATACCCAGTAAGATTATCAGCCGAATTTCTTATTGGAAAACTTGGAGGATGGAAGTCAATGGGATGATATATTTAAAGTACTGAAAGGAAAAAAAAAAAAATCAGGTGAGAATTCTATATTCAGCAACACTGTCCTTCAAAAATAAGGGAGATAGTAAGGCATTCCCAGATAAGCAAAAACAAGGAATTCATTACCACTGGCTGTGCCCTACATGTGATGTTGCAGGGATTCCTTCAGGTTGGAGTGCAAGGATGTTATAAAGCTACTCACAGCCCCAGGAAGATGTTGGTCTCTGGTAAAGGGAAATACATGGAGAAAGTCTATGTTAACTAGTATACAAGATATAAAGATGTAATTTGTGGCATCGATAGCATAAAGTTGGGGACAAATAGAATTGTAAAGGAGTAGAGATTTTGTATGTCACTGAAGTTAAGCTGGTATCAATTCAAAACAGATTGTTATAACTTTAGAATGATGATATAAATCCCCATGGTGGCCATGAACAAAACACATGTAGAATATATACAAAAGGGAATGGGAAGGAAATCAAAACATGTCACTACAAAAAAAAAAATAAACTAAATACAAAGGAAGGCAGTAATAGAGGGACAAAAAAAAGGCTATAATACATACAGATAACAAACAGCAAAATGGCATAAGTAAGTCTTGCCCTGTTAATAATTACTTTAAATGTAGATAGCTTAAATTTCCCAATCAAAAGGCATCACTGGCCTGGCAGAATGGAAAAAAAGAAAAAAGCATGATCTACTTTTATGCTGCCTATAAGAAATTAAGATCTAAGGACACAGATTGAATGTGAAAGATGGAAAAAGATATTCTATACAAATAGTAACAAAATGATAACTGAGGTGGCTATACAAATACCAGATAAAATATACTTTGAGTCAAAAACTACTGTAAGAGATAAAGAAGGACATTATATATTGATAAATGGGTCAATTCACCAGGAAAATGTAACAAATATAAAAATATATGCAACAGGAATCAGAGTCCAAATACATGAAGCAAATATTGAAAGAACTGAAGGAAGAAAAAGACAACTCTGTAACAATAGTAGAAGACTCAATACCCTACTTTAAGTAACCAGACAGAAGACCAGAAACGAAATGGAAGACTTGAACAAACCTAGAAACCAGTTGGACCTAACAGACACATACAGAGCACTCCACCCAACAACAGCCCAATACACATTTCTCTCAATTGCACAAGGAACAATGTCCAGGACAGGCCCCCAAACAAGTCTTAATAGAGTTTTAAAAAGACTGAAATCATACGAAGTATCTTTTCCAACCACAGTGGAATGAAATTAGAAATCAATAGCAGAAGGAAAACTGAAAAATCCACAAATATGTGGAAATTAAACAACATACTTTTCAACAACCAATGAGTCAAAAAAGAAATCACAAGGGAAATTGGGAAAATACCTTGAGACAAGTGAAAATGAAAACACAACATACCAGAACTTATGGGATGCAGTGAAAGCAGTGTTAAGAGGGAAATTTATAGTTGTAAATGCTATAGAAAGGTCTCTAATGAACAACCTAACTTTATACTCTAAGTGTCTAGAAAAAATGATACTGGCTGACAGTTTATGTTCCAAGGCCTCAGAGACCATGCTTCCTGGATGGTATGACCCACACTGACTTCAAATGTTCCCTCAGTGTTTCAACATCTGTAGCTCCAAACTTTCTCCAGCCCACACGTCCGTATTTTGCAAGATATTTTAACATGAGTGTTATGTTCAGCACATCCCAAAATGAACTCTCCACCTTCTCCAGGAAGCCTGGCTTTGCCTCTATGGTTCAAATACTAAGTCTTCTCTGGTTCCTTTCTCTCTCTGGCCACCCCCTACCCCACTCATGTTGGAGACAGTGTCTCCACTGCTTTCCTCCATCTGTCTCCTTTCTTGTAAAGCCAGAGTTCTCACAAAATAGAGCTAACTGGATTCATCCTGAGTACAAAAAGGAGCAAGCCCCATTGTGTCCCCTTTTCTGATTTTATCTCCTTAATTTCAAACTGTTGTTGAGCACCTCCTACAGGTCAAACCAAGATAAAATCACTTTACTGTCCTCAAAGAGATGTCAGTTTCCTTGGGGTGAAGTCAAGTTATAGAAACAAAAAGCCAAGTGATGAGACTGACATGTGTAAGATGCTGCAGGGACACAGAGGAGAAAATGTCAGTCAAGACTGGTGAGCAGAGAAGGTCTTACGATAGGTGATATTTGAGCTGAGTCCTGGAGGATTCATTGGAGCAAAGTGGATCAGAGGGGTGGCGTATTGATGGAAAGGATAGAGAATGCACGGGCTTGGCACTGTTTAAAGGAACTCTGGCTAATTCGTATGACTCACATTTTTATAACAGCCGCAACACGTTATTACTCCAACAGCCCTGTGAGGCAGGGAGCACTATTGTCCCCATTTTACAGATGAAGGATTTGCGGAGAAAAGAGATTAAGTGCTCAGCCTACGGCTTCTCTGAGCTGAGAAGCTGAGTTTTCAATCTAGGAGGAGGGGATGGATATTCCCTTTGAAGCCCAATGCTCTGAGCAGAAAAGACAAATCTCTTGACACTTAAATCAAACAGCTCTGCTGAAACATTGCACTCCCACTTGTGACCCAAAACAAACTCAGACCTGAAGCTACATTTTTACCACCTCCCCTACACCCATGCTTAACAAGACACAGTATCTTGTTTCTAAGGGGGAAAGACATGCTTATAAACAAGACTGCAAAGGCATCTTAAGACAACAAATCACTCATAAAAAGGGAACATTCTGATGAGTAAAGTGTAAATGAATCAGAAACATATGGATTCAATCTACTTTAAAAGGCCCAGTGGAGTTCTGAGCTGAAGGGTAAAACCCTTGGAGGAAGTTATACTGGGGGATTTTTCCAAACCCAGGGCTATTAGTTCTGGCCAGGCCCAGAGATAGGCTGGTAGGTGGATCTCTGAGGAAACCAGCAGAAAGAGAGCTTCAGAAAGGTAGGAGGGTCACTTTATCTCAAATCTTCAAGTCCAGACTTGGAAATTTCCAAAGCTGCATGCCTCCTAGAAACACCTTTCCTGAACATCTCATTCTGACCCTGGGCTGGGACACTGAGTCCAGCCAGCAAATGATTTCTCTTTAGAAACTCCAGCTTGTCCAACTTCAGAAGGGTGTAGAGGCTGGACCAAAACCCTTCATCTTTATCAAAGGTTTTTTCCCTTTTACTGTGAATCTTGTCCAGGCCATGGCCTTGGAAGAGGAAGTAAGGGCCATGGTTCCCTTTGGCAGCATCAGATAAGAAATGAATCTGCACAGACATACTGAACACGTTCTACTAAACAGGAAACAACATAAGAAAAAGAAGCAAGCAGATTCATCAGTCTGCATGGGTTACATCAGCCACAAAAATAAACATAGGACTGAAGAGTCCAGGCTGGCTTAATAGAAACCAGGCAGTGAGCAGGTGTGTGTCCCTCGGCATAATCATCTTGGGGGCGCCCTGTGCCTTTCCTGGGGTCCCACGTGGGATGAAAGTTCAACCACGGGGAGCATGGTGGGCTCAGGGTTGCCCGGGATTTGCTCTGTTTCTTTACCCTCCAGGTGCCTGCTTCCAAATGAGAACCCAGCCTGCTCTGTTGCTGATTTTTTTCATTCTCACAGTGGCGTTGCTATGGTAACAGGCCTTTCTCATCCACGGCTGATCAAATCAAGTTTTGGGGGGAGTACTAAGAAGAATGAGCAAGTGGAACAGTATTCTCCCCAAATGCTGCCTGAAATTGACATCGTCTGTTTTCACAGCCCAGCCTCCCCCTCCCACGGCCACACACCCAGGCAGCCACACTCCCTGACTGCTGACCGCTCACCACTGGACTGGCTGCAGTCAGGGGCTGTGCTGAGAAGAAAGGCACCCTAGGGCCCCTGCATCCGTGTCATCAGCTTTCATACTCAGATGGGCCTCACTGAGGCTCTGGGTCACTCCCTGCCAGTGCCATCGAGCTAAAACAGGATGCTCTGGGTGAGACTGGTGGGGGAGCTGGGTCTCAAGGGAATTTTCTGTGCCTCTGGAAATCCCTATTGTCACCCCCTCCCCAAGACAGGCTTTCCTCTCTCTTGTTGATCCCTGAGGTCTGTCATCTTAGAGATTTATTTCTTTAATGGAAGACTTTGATTCTTAAGACCACTGATGAGACCTTGTACGTGCATCTTAACATCAAAAGATGGAGGACGGGAGGGAAGCTGCGCTAACAGGCTGGAGCCGGGGGAGGCAGGGATGGCAGGAGTGAGGTTGAGAACCTTGGAGACACCCTGCACTTGCTTCCCCGCCCCCACCCCTGGTTGTTGTAGGAGGAAAACAGGGCGCTCCGGAGCGCTGAGAGCCACCCTGCCCCTCTCCACAATGCCCGTCCCCAGTTAAGGTATATTTGCTGTGAGGCCACTGAGAGCCAGGCACGGCTCTAGACCCTGGGAAAGCAGGAGCTGCAGGGACCCTGGTGCTGCTCAGAAGATCCAGGAGCAGCTGGGGCCTGGGAACCGAAAGGGATCACCGCTGTCCCTGTCACCCCTCCCTAGGCCCCTCCAGCTCCAGATCCTTCTTCAGCTGGTCCTGCCTTGGCAGAGAGAACCTGAGCTGTCTGAGGAGTTTCTTTAGATGCAGCGATGAGCTTGACAGTGCAGAGCCCAAAGGGGTGGCCTGCGGTGACCACAGCCAAGAAGGGAATGCATAGGCGAATGTATGCCCTCCGGCGATGTTACTCCCTGCACAGGTGCAGGGCCTAGGCTGGATCTGACCCCACCTCCCAGAGGATAGAGGCTTCTGGAATCCAGTTGCTCGTCCCTGGTACCCCAGAGTCTCCAAATCCACAGGACTGAGCGGATGCCTCTGGACCTGGAGCGCTGTTGGCCGATGTTCTCAGTCACCTGTGGATTGACAGAAAGGTGAAGAGAGGGAGAGAGAGCTGGGGTGGGGGTGCAACAGAAGGGATGGAATTGGTGGTGGGCTTCTTGCCCAGCTTACCCATCTGTTTCTCCATTGAAAGTGAAAGTGACTCTTCGCCACCCCATGGGCTGTAGCCCACCAGGCTCCTCCATCCATGGGAGTTCCCAGGCAAGAATACTGGGGTGGTTTGCCATTTCCTTCTCCAGGAGGTCTTCCCGACCCAGGGATTGAACCCGGGTCTCCCGCATTGTAAGCAGACGCTTTACTCTCTGAGCCACCAGGGAAGTCGTTTCTCCATTACTGCCCTGTAAATAAATTTTTCAGAACCATTTTTCCAGATTCCATATATATGCATTAGAATACAATATTTATCTTTCTCTTTCTGACTTACTTCACTCTGTATAATAGATTCTAGTTTCATCCACCTCATCAGAACTGACTCAAATGCATTCCTTTTTATGGCTGAGTAATATTCCATTGTGTATATGTACCCCAACTTCTTTATCCATTCATCTGTCGATGGACATTTAGGTTGCTTCCATGTTCTAGCTATTGTAAACAGTGTTGCAATGAAGAATGGGATACATGCGTCTTTTTCAATTTTGGTTTCCTCAGGGTATATGCCTAGGAGTGCAGGGTCATATGGTGGTTTTATTCTTAGTTTTTTAAGGAGTCTCCATACTGTTTTCCATAGTGTCTGCATCAATTTACATTCCCACCAACAGTGCAAGAGCGTTCCCTTTTCTCCACACCCTCTCCAGCATTTATTGTTTGTAGACTTTTTGATGAGGGCCATTCTAACTGGTGTGAGGTGATATTTCATTGCAGTTTTGATTTGCATTTCTCTAATAATGAGCAATGTTGAGCATCTTTTCACGCGTTTGTTAGCCATCTGTATGTCTTCTTTGGAGAAAAGTCTGTTTAGGTGGCAGGTAGGTTTTTCACCACTGAGCCGTCTGGGCTGCCTCTAGAGTCAAGGAACCCAAAGCTAAGGCCGTGGGCATCTATCTGACCGTGTGGTGCCACCTGGATTCCAGCTTTCCATTCCACCACCAACTGCCGTGTGCCTCAAAGCAAGGCCGTGGGCATCTGTCTGACCGTGTGGTGCCGCCTGGATTCCAGCTTTCCATTCCACCACCAACTGCCGTGTGCCTCAAAGCAGTAGCAAATCAGCCAAACACTGTTCTAAGCACAGCAGCCTCATAGCGCAGGCACTCTCACTGCGTCCATTTAACAGGTGAGCACACTGAGGCCCAGAGAGGGCAGTTAACTCTGCTGAGTCCCAGGGCTGAGCAACAGAGCAGGGATCTGAACCCACCCTGTCGGGCTGAAGGCTGCACCCCCTGGACCATCGAGCTAGTCTGGCTACTTGGACAAAGCTCCATGCTGGGTTACACGAGGGAATACAAATAAATAAGTGGTGTGGTCATGGCCCTTGAGGGCTTGACCGTTGCCAAGACTGAAGCAGTCTTCCCAGACTGGCCTGACGGGCCCGCTGCCCAGGCTGGATTCCCCACACTCTGCGTATGGCTGCGGGCCTCTGCACTCCTGGGACACCATCAAACGCCCACAGCAACTGAAATCCCACCTCAGCAGCCTCCACCTATTCTTCCAGACAGGCTGCCTCCCCTGCCTAGAGCATGATTCTGGAGTAACAGAAAGGACTCGGCGGTCCTTGCCAAGATTCATGACAAACATGCTGTGTGAGGCCGGAGGACGCGGCTGAGTCGGGCCTGCTGCCTGGGCTCCGGCCTCAGTCAGCGGTGAACCAGGTCAGGGCGCCAGGTGACAGGACGCGCTGCATCGGCAGAGCCCGCCAGGCCCCGCTCAGCCAGCAAGGTCACCCTCAGCCATCCACTCACAAATGGGCCACTTGGCACTTCAGACGCCCTGACTACGCTCGCCTGCGGGACTGGAGGATGGGGTCTGGCGTTTGGTCCAGACTCTGTGCCCCTGGGACCCCAGAGGCCATGAAGTATGTCGTAAGTTAGCAAAAGCCAAAGACAGGGTTTCATCAAGGGCTTGAGGATTAAGGCTGCAATCAAGGTTACGTCAAACAGGGCTCAAAGGAGCCTGATGCCATGGTGACAGAGACATAAAAGAGGGTCCCTGGGCACAGGATTCCTTCTGGAGCTCTGAGCTCACTCATGGGGCTGTTAGAAGCTGATGCAGGATGCTGAAGCAAGAGCCCCGTCTCCTTCCTGGGGGACCATTAAAAACCAACTGCACTTGGAGATGGGGTGGGTAGGGAGTGGATATGTGCAGAGGTTCTGTCTGCCTTGCTGTTCATCTGTGGCTCTGGGGTCACTGAGTCTTTTTCCAAAGAGCCAGTGTCTCTCCTTTCCCATGGTGGGCGGGCAGCCACATCACTGGGGTGCCAGGGACCCTAGGGGCAGCCAAGGACCCACAGCACCTTGACCAAGGAAATGCTGCCTGGAAAAAATGCAGTGGTTGAACAAACGCAGGCACAGTGTCCATGAGCAGGAGGAACGTGACAAACCAAGGGAGACAGGAAGGATGCCCCCTTCCCTTCCTGTAGCCTGACTTGGTTTTGAAAACCTCCAAGGGGGCTCAAGTCTCTTCCAGGAAGGAAAGCAGGCTTCACCAAAGCAAGGCTGCCCTGGCACGACGCCTTTACCCCTGGTACCCAGAGCTGAAACGGCCTCCAGCATCGGGCTCCAGGGTCAAGATCACTAATGCCATTACCCACCCCCTGCCCCCACCCCTGCCCTTCCCTTCAGTGCCCACCTGTGCCTCACAGGAAAGGCCTAGAACTTGGGCAGGTGGCTGCTTAGGTTCTGGCAGGTTCCAGGTGGTGGCAGCCATGTGTGGGATCCGGCCCGGCATGCAGCCCTGGGGACAGACACTTACTACAAGCAGTGCAGAAAATTGAAGGCCGTATTCTGCCCACAGTGATACACACCCCCTGCTTCCTTCCTCCATCACCCCATCAAACCACCATCACCTCCTCCTCACACCACTCCAACCTTTCCCTGTTCCCTCTTCCTCCCCTCCCTGTCTCTCCTCTAGCTCACAATCCATAAACCTCATCTACAAACTGCCTTGGACATTCCTCTCAGACACAAGTTCCAAAGACAGCCAAACAAGAAGAAGAAAAATGGTGAAAGAACAGTGTATTGATTTGGGGTCACCAGCTGATATCCTTTGGCCCCTGCCTGATTTGGGAAGGATCCCAAATAAGTGCTCATGGGCTGGACCTCACGGGGACAGAAAGGCTGCTGGGGCTATGCCCATCATACAGCTATCCCTGGCAATGAGGACAACTCCAAGGCATCCCAGTGCCATCTGTTGTTGAACCAAACGAGCTGCCTTGACCAGCAAAGCGGGCAGATTCGGTTTTTATTTTTCCTCTGTGAAGAAAAAAGGAAAAGGAATTCTGGCCATGGTGACATCTAGACTCGGCAAACGTCAGGCCCGGGCCTGTCTATGCATGGAAGCCACTCCTCAGGCCTCCCTTTTTCATCACACTCATCTCTGGAGATACACCATAATAAAGCATTCGCAACTGGCTCTGCTCTTCTGACTGATACGGGGCAACTTTCTTTTTAAGACTTCTGTGCTCTGCTGGTGCCAAATCATCAGCGACTCTGCCTGTAAGGCGAGCTGAGGCAGCCTTCTCTGGAGAGGCTCCATCAGTCCATGCCCCTGGTGGGCAGCAGCTGTCCAAGGCTCAGTGGCAGGGGCGGGGGGGGGGGGGTGCAACGCTTCACTCACCCGGGCCCAGCAGGGAACTTGGCCTTGGCTCTGGGGCACAGGTGCACCCTGCCGGGAGGTGCCTGACAGCACCATGGGGAGGGGGAGGCAACTGGGGGGATGCCACCCTGGAAGCCCAAGAGGCATCTGCAACTCTTAGGAGGGACGAGGGATGGCAGAGGCACATCTTCAGAGGGAGAGAACAGCATTGGGCCTGAAATATTCTGAAATCTTTGGGGGAAAGGGCTGGAAAGGAATGTTCAGGACAGCCGTGTCCTGTTCTCTCCCCTTTCAAGTCTTTCATATTGCTGGAAGCACTTCAGATGGTGAAAACGGAAGGAACAGGAAGCTCGTGGATGGGGGTGGGGAAGGGTAGGGAGGCAGAATTAGGGGTGGGGGAGACAACAAGTCTGAACATCAGGAGGAAGGAGAGGACACAGAAGAGAGAGAGAAAGCCCAGGCAAAGGGGAGTCGGGAGGCAGAAAATAAAGAACGGGGTGTTCTGAGGGGTGAGAGCTTGAAAACACAGATAAATTAAGAAGGTCACTTATACCACAACATAAAATAAAAGTTATAAACTTCCCTGGTGGTCTAGTGGCTAAGACTGCATGCTCCCAATGCAGGATGCCCAGGTTCAATCCCTGGTTGGGGAACTGGATCCCACATGCTGAAACTAAAGATCAAAAGCACAACTAAGACTCGGTACAGCCAAATAAATAAAAAAATAAAAAATAAAATTAAAATTAAAAAATTAAAATTTTAAAAAAGGATGAATGAAGAAGAAAGGGACTGCTTTCCTTCTTTTTGAAGACTGAGTAATGTTCCCCTGTGTGCACATTTCATTTTCTTTATCCACCTGTCTGTAGCTGGACATTGAGTGCCATTTGCAACAACTTGGGTGAACTCGGAGGACACTGTGCTCACTGAAATGAGCCAGACTGCTGCTGCTGCTATTGTTGAGTTGCTCAGTCGTGTCCACCTCTTTGCGACCCTGCAGACTGTAGCCCACTAGGCTCCTCTGTCCATGGAATTCTCCAGGCAAGCATACTGGTGAGCTGCCATGCCCTACTCCAGGGGGATTCTTCCAACCCAGGGATTGAACCCCAGTCTCCTGCTTGGCAGGCAGATTTCTTACCACTGAGCTGCCTGGGAAGTTCATAAGCCAGACACCAGAGGGGAAATACTGTACAATGCCCCTTGTATGAGGAATCTCAAATAGTCACAGAAGCAGAAAGTAGAACAGTGGTTACTGGAGAAGGAGGAGGGGGAAGTGGGGAGCTGCTGATCAGTGGATATAAAGTTTCAGTTGTGCTGTCGCTCAGTCATGTTTGCCTCTTTGCCACCCCCTGGACTGCATGTAGCATGCCAAGATCCTCTGTCCATGGGATTTCCCAGGCAAGAATGATTGGAATGGGTTGCCACACCCTCCTCCAGGGAAAGTTTCAGTTATGCAAGATGAATTAGTTCTAGAGATCTGCTGTACCATGTAGGGCTTGCTTATGGTCAACAAAACTGTGTTGTACACTTAAAACTTTGTTCAGGGAGTAGGTCTCATGTTAACTTGTCAGTATGCACACAACCATCAAACAGAGGGACACAATGACGGTGTGTCTCAGACAGTGAGCGGAGATGATGGTATGTCAGTTACTCTGAAATGGGGGTGATGGTATCATGGGTGCATGCTTGTGTCCAAACTCATGAAACTGCATTCATTAAACACATGCAGTTCACCGTATATCAACTACACATCAATCAAGCTGTTAAAGAGAAGAAGGAAGGGACTGTGACTAGGGAAGGGCTGGGTCTTTGGAGAGAAAGATTAAAAACTGTCAGCTCTTCCTAAAACTCAGACACATTCCCGGATGAAAATTTTCCATATCCATGAACTTTGCCCTCCTTCTTCAGTCTCAGTTGCCAGAGCGTTTAAAAGTCAAACTTTTTGTTGTTCAGTTGCCCAGTCGTGTCCAACTCTTTGAAACCCCATGGACTGTAGCCCACCAGGCTTCCCTGTCCTTCATTATTTCCTGGAGTTAGCTCAGATTTATGTCCATTGAGTCAGTGATGCTATCTAACCATCTTGCCCTCTTTTGCCCCCTTCTCCTGCCCTCAGTACTTCCCAGTATTGGGGTCTTTTCCAATGAGTCAGCTCTTTGCATCAGGTGGTCAAAGTACTGGAGCTTTAGCTTCAGCATCAGTACTTCCAATGAATATTTGGGGTTGATTTCCTTTAGGATGGACTGGTTTGAGCTCCTTGCTGTCCAAGGAACTCTCAAGAGTTTAAAAGTCAAACTTCCTGTCTAAGTTTTGTGATCTGTTCAGATTAGGTGAGTGAAAATATCTTCATCTGTTTCTCTGAGAAAGTCCCGGTTGTGCGATGCTCAGATTGTCTCTAACCACACGGCTCCCCAGCTTCAGCCAGCGTTAGCCCTTCAGGAAGAGGGGAACCCCAAAACTTGAATAAAGGGCAAAGAATACCCTCAAAGACCCAGGAGGAAACATTCTCCTGATCCTCTCATCTCTAGAAGGGAAAAAGGTGTGTTCCAGAGCAATCAGATACAGCTTGGTAGGAAGCAGGCTCCAGAGATGAGGATGCCCTGGGACAGGCAGGTCCCGACGGGGCAGCCGTCCAGACACAGTAACCAGAGCAACCAGTAGGCCAGTTAGGGGTTTTGCAGTTGTTTTATTGCTTTGGTTTATTTTTATTTACCTGATAGTTTAGTTGGTACCATGAGAGCAGGTAGGGATTCCCTAACGTCCCAAAGGCTATGCAGTGAGAAGTCGGTTGCTCTTTTCCAGCTACGGCCCCCTCCCCTTCTTCCCCTAGGCAAATGCTGACAACAGATCCCCTGAAAGGAGATTATGGGGTTCTCTAACAGGCTTGACAAGGGACCCTGGCCCATTCCAGAGATAGAGTTCGAAAGACTCCTCCATGGGAGTAACACTTGAGCTGAAAGGTGAAGGACAAGCAGGGATTTGTGGTGAAAGAAAGAACTGCATGTACAAAGGCCCAGTGGTGAGTGTGGTCACAGCACTTTGGAGCAGAGGGCAAGCAGGTAGGGTGGCCTTTTCTGGGAGAGTGAGATGGGGGCGGGCAGGAGCAGTGGGCAGAGGTGGCAGGGCTCCCCAAGCCATCTTAGCGTTGTGACCTTTATCCATGTATGCGTGTGTGCTAAGTTGCTTCAGTTGTGTCTGACTCTTTGTGACCCCATGGACTGTAGCCTGCCAGGCTCCTCGGTCCTTGGAGTTCTCTAGGCAAGAATACTGGAGTGGGTAGCCATTTCCTTCTCTAGGAGATCTTCTCAGTCCAGGGATCAAACCTGCGTCTCCTGCCACTCCTGTATTGCAGGCGGGTTCTTTACTGCCAAGCCTCCGGGGATGCCTGACCTTTATCCACAGATTTAAGCCCTGAGAGTTTGGAGAGTATATGTGACAGATCCAGTTAATGTTTTGAAAACATAATCACTGTTTCTCCTGTGCAGAGAAGAGCAAGGAGCCAGCACGGAGGAGGGTAGAGGTGGTACAGGAAGAGACTGTACGGTTAGGAGATTGCACGGGAAGCCTCGACGGCCCTGCCCCTCGCCTGTTCAACATCCCCTTTGCGTTCAGCCTCGGGCGTGGGGGACACTCCCTGGTGGTCTCTGCCTCACACTCACAGCCCTAGCCTCAAGTGCACCTTTTCCCTGCAGTGACCTCAATGCTGGGGAAGCTGTTGGGGCACCTGTAGGAATGACCCGAACTGCAGGAGAGCTCGTGATTCCAGGAGCAGTCCTCAGCCAGTGGAGAAGGGGAGACGATGGATAAACCCCCTTCCTGGGCCATCAGGCTCTACACTCCAGGTCCCACGGTGGTGACCCCACTTACACCCTTGTCTATGAACATTCCTTCTCCCCCCATCTGCCTGTCCCTCCCTTCTGATTCCTGGGACTGCTCCTAAATAAGTGATCCTCACAGAAGTCCCTGTGGGCTCTGCCTTATCTATGTATTCCAGGTAAGAAGGAGGCACCTGCAGGTGTCTAGGTAAGACAGGATGGGAGCTTGGAGTAAAGTGGCAGCTGTGGGAATGGACAGATTGAAGAGCTGTTTGGATGGTGAAATTAAGTGTCCGATGCAGCCACATTCTCCAGCACCGCTGTCTCTTCTATTCCCTTGACATTTGTTGTGGCCCATCTAGGCTTACAGCTTGTGGTGAGTCTAGGATGGAGAAGGTGTTTTATAACTGTGCAAATGGCCACAATGTACGGAGGCAGAACTCAACAGCCATTGCAAGATGAAGCTTACAGGAGATGAAAATGGTATTTCCGGCAGTCCTTAATTCTGTTCAGTTCAGTCGCTCAATCGTTTCCGACTCTTTGCAACCCCATGGACTGCAGCATGCCAGGCTTCCCTGTCCATGACCAACTCCCCGAGTTTGCTCCAACTCATGTCCATTGAGTCGGTGATGCCATCCAACCATCTCATCCTCTGTCATCCCTTTCTCCTCCTGCCATTTATCTGTCCCAGCATCAGGGTCTTTTCTATTGAGTCAGTTCTTCACATCAGGTGGCCAAAGTATTGGAGCTTCAGCTTCAGCATCAGTCCTTTCAATGAATACTCAGGACTGATTGCCCTTAGGATTGACTGGTTTGATTGTCCTTAATTGGTTGAGTTTAAAGTGGGGTCTTTGGGGCCTCCCTGGTGGCTCAGTGGTAAAGAATCTGCCTTCCAATGCAAGAGACATGGGTTTGATCCCTGGTCTGGGAAGATCCCACATGCCTCACACAACCAAGCCTCGGCACCACAACTGTTGAGCCTGTGCTCTAGAGCTCGGGAACCACAGCTATTGAGGTCCTGTTCTATGACTACGGAAGCCCGTGCACCCTAGAGCTTGTGCTCTGCAAGAGAAGCCAATGCAATGAGAAGCCTGCACACCACAATGAGAGAATAGTCCCCGTTGGCCACAACTAGAGAAAAGCCAAAGCAGCAAAGAAGACCCAGCGCAGCCCAAAATAAATAAACAAATAAACAAAACTATAAAAAGGGGACTTTGGCAGGCATTGCTGGCTTGAGCATCTTCTTCGGACAAGATGCCGGGCCTTTGTAGCAGAGAGAGAAGCAACAGGAGGACATGGAGGAGGGGTGACGCCTGCTCACCCAATGATGAAGAAGAAATGGAGACTCAGAGAGAGAGGTCTTCCCAGGGCCCCAAGCAGTGCCTGATAGAACCAGTACGCACATCGCGGTCCAAATGGCTCCAAAGGCTGGCTTTTAACAGTGATCTCCTTTTCAACTTCCCTCTGCTCCAAAGCAGGGCAGGAGCCCTGCCAGAGTCCAGCCACAGCCATCTCTATTTATGCTGGCTCATTGGACCAGATGATTGTCAGATTCTGTTACTCGGTAGAAGAGGCTCAAGATTTTTTTCCCATGAAGGGTTTATTTTAAATATTTTCAGGATAGAATAAGCTTACATCATAATTATAAAAATTACTTACAGAATTAACAGGTTTATATTGTTTATACTTCCAAATGTAGAGAACAGGGTATTGTCTACACATTGAATTGTGTGCATGCGAAGTCATTTCAGTTGTCTGACTCTTTGTTACCCTGTGGACTGGAACCTGCCAGGCTCCTCTGTCCATGGGATTCTCCAGGCAAGAATACTGGAGTGGGTTGCCATGCCCTCCTCCAGGGGATCATCCCAACCCAGGGACAGAAGCCAGGTCTCTCGCATTGCAGGTGGATTCTTTCCTATCTGAGCCACCAGAGAAGCCCAAGAATACTGGAGTGGGTAGTCTATCCCTTCTCCAGGGGATCTTCCCGAACCAGGAATCGAACCAGGGCCTCCTGCATTGCAGGCAGTTTCTTTACCAGCTAAGCTGCTGTGGGGCTTCAAAAAAGGAGAAGGATTCCAATGTGGTAGATGCAAAAGGATGGTTTGCTGCCTAACAAACTGCTCTAACACTCAGTGGTTCAGAAGACACCTACCCGTTGTCTTGCGCAACCTGTGAGGGGCCGGGCAGTTCTGTCTGGGGTTGGCTCAGCAGTGCTGGGATGTCTAGGGGAGCCTGGCTCACCCGTCTGGGATGGCTGAGATGGAGAGGATGTCTTGTCCTCCAGTTGTGGTCCAGCCTCACTCTCCTGGTGGAAAAAAGTTTCGAATCAGCTAGATAGAGGAAAAGCCCTGATGCACACACGCTTTCCCAGCCCCTCCATGTGTCGTGTTTGCTCATATTCCACTGGCCAAAACAGGCTCATGATTCCAGGGGTGGAGAGGCTCGCTCCCCTCTGCTGGGCACCAGCACGTTGCAACGAGACATGCTTAGCAGGACTGGATGAGCGTGTAGTTTGTTTTGTTTTCCATCAGTCAGGATCAGAGGAAGCCTTACAGAAAGGAGGGGCTTCAAGAAGTGGCCGGAGCTGGGCATTGTAGCCGATCCCCCACAGGTGTTGAAAACCCACAGAGGTGAGAGAGGAAGGTCTGTGATGACCTGCCAGTGCTCCATCTGGGCTAGGGAGAGGGTTGGGAAAGAAAGCTGGAGCTAAATCAGGGAGGGAAGGAGTGATGTCTTTCAGAGCTGGGATGGTAGCCAATGGCTGACTAAGAGGCTGATCAGGGCAATGCCCCTCTCAGAAAGCATGCTCCATCACATGCCGGGTATCTATGGCGCCGCAGTTCTCTTGCTCCTGGAACCTGAGGGGCAAGCAAAGGACCTGGGGTAGCCAGTCTACAGGCTGCCAGAGCTAAGGTGGCTGGAAAAGGTGAGCTGGGGAATGAGGCATGAGTGGCAGAGGTGAGATGAAGGGCCACTGAAGTTAAGTCAAAGCTGGGGAACCCAGAGCGGGGTCCCAACTGGCCATGTGGGAGCTAAGGACAAGGAAACCAGCTGGAGAGACAGGAAACAGCATTTCATACAGGTAAAAATTGACCCAATGAGGGAAGACCAGTCCCTGGAGCAGCCTCAGGTCTCGGAGACCTTCCCATCCTCGTGTGGGTTTATAAGTAACTCTCTTTCTCTGCAGGGGTTGAATGCGTCTGTCCCATATCACGTGATGGGTGGTCCTCTCCTTAAGTCCCTGGTTAGAGCATCAGTTGGAATAAAATTTTGAAAAGAGGCAGGGCACCCGGGAATAGGAGAATGTATTGGTCAGATTGCAAAGCAGGGTGAATGTTCATGACCGCAGTTGTTTTATTTTTTAAGTATAATTTGTTTATTTATTTATTTATTTTTGGCAGTGCTGGGTCTTCGTTGCTGTGTGGGCTTTTCTCTAGTTGTGGTCTGCGGGCTTCTCATTGCAGTGGCTTCTCCTGTTGCAGAGTGCAGGCTCTTAGAGCACGTGGGCTTCAGTAGTTGCAGCTCCCCGACTCTAGACCACAGGCTCGGCAGTTATGGCTCACGAGCTTGGCTGGTCTGTGGCATGTGGGATCAACCTGGTCCAGGGATCGAACCTGTGTCTCCTACATTGGCCGGCAGGTTCTTTACTTCTGAGGCATCAGGGGAACCCAGGACTCGGGTTGTTTTTTAAAAGGAGCTGCTCTTTTACTACCTTCCCTAGCAACTAGACATACCATAAAGTGAAAACAGAAGCCATCATATTTTCAGAAAATTTCTGGGATTAGGTAAAGTCTTAAAAGCCTCAAGAATGTTAGTTTGTAGCCTATTATTTCTTTCAGAAAATGTGTCAGTTCTCACTCTAGGTGCCAAAGAAGCCAGAAGTCATATCTCACTCTGCCTTATTCCTTCTGGAGTTTACCCAGTACATCTCAGCAGTGGCACAGGAAACATATTTCCCTGGAAACCAGAAGTCACACAATAGGCCTCACCCCTCACAGCCCCGTGGGATACAAAAATCCCCATTCTATTTGAAATCCAATTATTCTGCTTTTATGTCACCTTCTCTGCTCTAAATGAGCACCAGCCCATCTGCCAGAGCATAGGATGACACAGACACAATGTGGGGTGTCAACTGCTCATGCTCCTCTTTTGTGAGATCAACCCTTGTAACACTGTAGTCAGTCCACTGCCAGACTGTTAACCTTGGCTTGTTGGAAACAGACGCATCAACCAGGAGACACCATTTGTCAGATACCGGCCCTCTTCTGGACATGAGTTGGTCCTTACAGAGAAAGCTGCTAGGAACGGGAGCCTGAGTTGCATCTTGGGCTGTATAGGCACCTGCCC